TTTCCTTTCAATCCAACGGTCCAACGGACTCCAACTCCAACCCCTTTATATTCTGGGGGGAACCAGTCTGGTTACTAATCACCAGCAATCATAGAAAAAACAAGGATTAAGATGAATCGAGATTCTGAGAACCATAACCGGGCACACTGTCCCAAAGACTGGAATGGTGCGCAGTCAACGTACTTCTTACCATGGAAAAGCGACCACCGAGATTCCGAGAGCCATAACCGGGCACACCGTCCCAAAGACTGGAATGGTGCACAGTCAACGTACTTCTTACCATGGAAAAGCGACCACCATCCTTTTCTTTTCTTCTTTTCTTTTTTTTTTTTTTTTTTGGGAGCAGCGATTCTGTCATTACAGTTGTTCAGATTTGCGGCATTTGCCATACACCTTTTTTTTTTTTTTTTTTTTTTTTGTGTGTGTGTGTGTGTGTGCTCACAAGACCCAACCCTTCCTACCTCAACGTTCTTCTTTTTTCCTTAGTGTAACCCCTGCTTCTCGATCTAGGGGGGCACTGTTGGCCCTACCTCGGATATACCGGACAGCAGTTGCACGCACCAGCGCTAGGCTGGAAACCCCTCGCAGCCCCAGTTGAAGCACTATCCCGCAGTATCGAACGAGCCTTGTCGTACCGGATTTCAAGTCTATCTTACTATAGTACTTGCATCCCTGCACCCTATCCAATAGGTCGTCTATGCGAGGTAGAGGCTCTGCGTTCTTCACTGTGATGGCATTGAGGCCTCTATAGTCAATGCACATCCTCAAAGTTGTCGTTCCCGTAACCCGCATCAGTTTGCCACAGGGCCGATTCCTGCCAGGGAAAACCTCCGGCCCACCCCTCTCTGCCCCCCATTGGTTTTTGTTATGGATCATGTTGGGAATGCAGGGTAATATCAATCCCATAACCTGCACCAGTTCCCCGCAGGGTCGATTCCTGCCAAGGAAAACCTCCGGCCCACCCCCTCCTGTATCCCCCAAGTTATTGGTCATGTCATTGGTTATGTATATGTATGTGCTCCCCAGTCTTCTATCCCCCAATCTTGCTAAACAAGAGTACCCCCCCCCCCCCCCCCCCCCCCCCCCCCCCCCCCCCCCCCCCCCCTCCCCCCCCCTCTCCCCCCCCCCCCCCCCCCCCCCCCCCCCCCCCATCTCCCCCCCCCCCCCCCTCCCCCCAAAGGTCGTCTACTCTTCTCTAGCTCCTACATAATTCCACTAATTGCCCCTCCCATAGGAGGCTTTCTGTGACTCCACCCCTGACTCCCACCCTCCTAAGGACTGGTTACGGGCACAAGCGCTATGCTAACATGCAAATGTCGTAGCAGAGGTGGCGCCCAAGACTCCCTCCTACCGAACCTTGAGCCCACCACCTCTCCCAGGATATATCAATGCTCTTACCACCTAAGCCAATGCAAAAAAAAAAAAAAAAAAAAAAAAAAAAAAAAAAAAAAAGGAGCCAGCGTGCTTGCTGTCCTGGGACCTACCACAGCAATGCTAGGTTGGGGGATTACTCCGTGGGGTGTCAAACCAGCGCCGACCCCCGAGCATCCGCAGGACATTTGAGGTCGATCGGAACCAAACGCAAAACCTGTCCCTTGTGATGCCGGTGCTCTAACCAACTGAGCTACCACGTTTGGTCTCTCCACCTCCCGTTGGATGGTGAGATTGAGAAACAAATTCAAAAACTTATGTCCACCTGGGCACCTTGCTGCCCTAAGCAGCCTGCAAAAGACGACTATCCCGAAATCAGCAAGATATGGCGCCCAATGGCGTCTCCCGGAGCCTTTCCTTCAGGATAGTCGTTTTTTGCAGGTCAGACTGAACTGGCCAGACTAACTGAAAAGTGGCACGCTGCCTACCATCTTCCCCCGAACACAACGCACCCTCATTTGGACTGCATCGGACCGGAAAGACGGCTTGTATACGTTCATTTTCAGCGTGCGTTCTGTTCAGGGGAAGACGGTAGCTCAGTTGGTGCACTCGTAACCTGTTGAAATTTGAAATACACACCCTCATTTGGACTGCATCGGACCGGAAAGACGGCTTGTATACGTTCATTTTCAGCGTGCGTTCTGTTCAGGGGAAGACGGTAGCTCAGTTGTTGTGTTCTAATCCCCATGGAACTGGGTGACCAGACTACGATATTTATGAGGTCCCTGAGTCGGGTCAGTTCAAACTTCAAAGCTGATAGCCCAAGTCCGCCGCCTCCCTTTAATCCGTCACCCTTGAGAAACTGAACAGTGCTACGACGGGTACGTGATCACTAATTGATTCACTATCATAATGTTTGTCGCAGCGCCTTCCTCGGCACCTACCAAATCCTACCAACCCTGCCGACTTCACCCGAATAGAACGCCCAGTCATTACCACTGTATCTAGACTGGAAATTCCTCCAAATACATCGATAATGACTGGGCGTTGTATTAGGGGGAAGATGGTACGGCATACTCGTGGAGCAAGAAAATTGCATGTGCATCTGCCTCACCACAGCAGCTGGCAAGATGCATCCATTCCATTTTTATTTTATTTTTTTATTTTTTTTGCGGAAGTAGCCCTTGCGTAAGCCCTCTATCCTGGCGGTGGTAAGCGAACCGTCAGAATTGAGGGCTTATCTGTCGGGCTGCTCCATCTACTACTGGTGGGGAGCAGCACCTGCTGGAAACCGGTTCCAGCGTCCCATTGATACATCTTATGACACATAGATTGCTGTTTGTTGTTTCCTAGGACTGTGGTCATTTCTGTGTCGGCCCGGGGCCCCGTTGTCCCATGGAGCTGCCAGTATCACCCACCCATCCCTTCTTGGAGCTCCCCTTTTCTATCAACCCAGACCTGTTCCGCAGCCCCCCTGTTCGTTATTGCTATGTCCGTCTCTTTAATCCCCCTTTAAACCCTTTAAACCCTATATGTTACTTGAACCCTGAGGATCAGCAATGGCGTGGAATGCGATGCAGTGCAACAGAAAGCAAATCGATGAGAAGAGACTATGTGCGTACATCCGAATCCATTTTGTGCATCACTAGGTGTGTGATGGAGTCGTGTGCCTTGAAGAGTGCGACCAGCGAACAGGGCTTGTGTCCAGCCGCTGTGAAGACCAGGGTCTGGCTCCCGTTCGAACCCCTGAGTCTCAGCATGTGGTGGGGTGGAGCTTGTGGCGGCATTTAGCAGTGCTCCGTCACTTCGTAACCCTTTGAGGCGCAACCTCATGCACGCTTAAGCCCTCGAAAAGTACGGTCACGCCGTAGACTGGTCGATCGCAGGAGCCCTTCGCGGGGCTGCAAAAGCCCAGGTTGTTGTAGAGATGGGATACTAGACAGATGACAGTCACCCACAGTAATCGGCTGGATGCAACTTGCCACCTTGTGTGGTAAGGTGCGGACACTTTTTTTCATTTGTCGTTGGTGCCTGAGGACTCGGGCAAGGGCCCTACCTTCTTCCCCCGAACACAACGTACGGTCATTATAGCTGTACTAAGACTGAAAGATACCCTAAATACAGCTACAATGACCGTACGTTGTATTCGGGGGAAGAATGCAGTCTACAAAAATCTACGAGCCCCAGTACTGTTACTCCGGGTGGTTTGTGGAAGGATTCTCGGCCTCCTTTGACATTGATAACAAAGTTGAGGGCTTGTATTTGTGAAAAAAAAAAAAAAAAAAAANACAAGTCGCGGAGGCGATTATCAGGAATGATATCGCAGTCGGCTGTAACAACATGGCCGTCGACTAAGTGTGAGCAGTCAGGAAACACTTTCCGACATTGACAGTCTGAGGGGTCAGGCAGGGAGATCCCAGGTGTGACGCTGAGCGCAACTTCCGTGAAATTAGAGAATTGGACGCGAGTTGGCGGCAACAACTTATCACAGATACGCAGGTGTGCTGCGGCATCAGGGTCAGGGTGCAAGTGGAGCACCTAATAATAATAATAATAATAATAATAATAATAATAGTAATAATAATAATAATAATAAATTTGCGCCACTGTCACAGGGGATGCGTGTGAGCAGGTTAGAACGTACTCACGGATCAGATGCGCCCGGGGGGGCACTTGCTCGATAACTCTTGAAATATCCAACCTAGGCAGAGCTTTATCGATGAGGTAGGTAGCTTCCTCCTTGCTCTTTCGCAAGGTTGATGGATGGAATAATCGAGACAAGGGCAACCCACAACATGCGCAACAACAAAAAGACATCCGATGGAATCCATTACGGCCTCCGTGTTCAGACAGGCGACCCACAACATGGGCAACAACAACATCCACTAAGGCCTGTGTGCTCAGACAGGCCCAAAAAATGCATGCCTTTCGGAATTCACGGAACTGAGGGAACTCAGCTATTTTATTTTATTTTTTGCGTTGGTTCACACACAAGGAAATGGATGGATATGGTTACATGCACACATAGAAGATGCACATGGTCACGAGTAGACAAAGCAACTCACAACTCAATAGATTGATGAAAGGAAATGCCCATAGGAGCACACATAAAAGAATGCCAAACAATTCTTTCCAGTGTCCATGGGGGCAAATCCACACTGATGGCTCTTGGCTCCATGTCCTCTTCTGCATTTTCAGTAGGACTCTCTCAAAACAAGGGGACACCATCATCCACCCCCTTGTCACAGTGTGTGATCGTGGTGCTATTCTTGGGTGTCTTTTTTTTTTTTTTTTTTTTTTTTTTTGAGAATGCAGCTCCAGCGTCAGGCTGCTAGGGGGGTGACATGAGAATCCCCTGCCAGCAGCACCGTGGTGCTATTCTATATTCTAAGCAACCCATCTGGAAATTCTTAATTAGGAAAAACAGCGTCGGTCAGAGATATGCAAACCACTTCGGGTTCCCAGTGAGCGTTGCCAAGATATTCTTTTGTGGGGTCCGAACCCCTTCGGTTCGGACCCCGTACGGCGAACCGAACGCCTGAACTTTCGGGGGTCAGCTTAGGGGCCTCCGTACGTTCGGCCTGGCAACCCTGACCCCGAACGTTCGGGCGTTCGGGTCCCCGTTCGGACCCCGCAAAAAAATATTTTGGCACGTAAATATTATTATTTTTCTCTGATTTGTTTTTTGTGAGGTCTTTGTAATGTAAGGTATCTTCCTCTTAATTTTGAAGACATTCTGTTAAGCCAAAACATAATTAAAAATCGGCAAAGATGGTGGTGTCAAAACTTGCTTGCCCACTCGCTAATTTGTTTTTTCTCTGCTGTTCACTTTTTGTTTTCCCTTTATTTCCGGGCATGAAAAAAATATATATTTTTTCAAACCTTATTTGTAGGTTCTCTACTATGTCAGATACACATATATAAAATTTCACAGCATTTGTCAAAGCCCAAAAAAAATGCAAAATCGCCAAAGATGGCGGTGTCAAAAAACGTGCTCGCCACTCAATAATTTCATTCTCGTTTTACTTTTTCTTATTTTCATTATTATTATTTATTTTTCGTATTTGATTTTTATTTCAAGTTTGGTAAAGAATTTGGATGTAATCTTGTCGCAAATGTTGTTCATTCAGATTTTTACTAGGCTACCAGCCGGGCCGCCCAGGTCCCAGGTGGCCAGCCCGTGCAGGGACCAGGGACAGTCCCAGCAAAAAAAAAAAAAAAAAAAAAAAAATCACAAAAAGACTGTTAGGGAGAAAAATAAACTGAACAACTTTTGCCTCAGGGTCACATCAAAATTTTTCACCAAATTTAAAATAAAAAACAAAATTTAAAAATATTTGTTTTATTTTTATTCTTTTAATGTTTTTGGCCCGGCCGGGCAAGCGACCCCGGGCCACTCTGGTATGCGGCGGTTTGGGTGAGAAGGATTGAAGGTTTGAGTCCTGGTTCCAGCACTGGTTTCCGACAGCGGGGATCATCACTGTTGGGTGGATTGTGGTATGCTGCGGTTTGGGTGAGAAGGATTGAAGGTTTGAAACCATTGGTTACTTGAGTTTTGCCTACGTGTCACTGTGTGACTATGGGTGCACTGCTTTGTGTTCATGCACACTGTGTTGTCACCATACCATTCTCAACTCAACACTCTGGTAGCCTAGGATTTCTATCATTTTTTGGAATTCTTTGTTTTTTTTTTTTGTTTTTTTTTTTGGTCAGCGTTCGGCCGAACGGCCGAACGTCTTGGGCGTTCGGGTTCGGGCGTTCGGCCTGTCCCGAATGCGGGCAGCCCTGTATATATATATATAGGTTGTTTTTCCGGGCGCCCGGGCACCCAACTTGTGCCCGGATACACGCCCGGGTGCCCGGTCGGGCATGACCCCCGGGCAGGGTCCCGGGCAGCCCCAGTGCAAAAAAAAAAAAAAAAAAAAAAAAAAAAAAAAAGGGAGCCTAAGTCTCACAGACCTTGATAGTTGAGGTCCCAGGTTCGCGACTGCCTACCTTCTTCCCCCGAATACAACGTACGGTCATCATAGCCGTATTTAGACTGAAAGATACCCCAAATACAGCTATAATGACCGTATGTTGTATTCAGGGGGGGGAAGTAGGTAGCAGCAGAACGGGAAAAAACAACAACATAACAAGCACTTACCTCAGATTTGGCTAATCCCACCTGAGCCCCCACAATCATACAGCAAAGATAGTCACTGACGCTTGGAGCATTGTAATTTACTAATTTGTAACAAGCATTTTTTCTTTGAATCGGAGATGAAGGGCCAATTACGAGGGGATGGAGGTAAAAGAAAATTTGCTCCACTTAAAAATATATTGTCACAGAACTATTGACTAAGAGCATGAGCATGTGAAGTAGAATAAGAAATAAGATGAGCAAAGAAAAGGAAAAGGAAAGGAAAGACAGGCAAAGAGACAGACAAACCAGAATGACACTTTGTTTCACAGTATTATTATTTCTTTCAGTCTTTTACAAAAATTATTTACACTGAATCAAAGGATCAAAAACAAAGACACATTGAAAT